ATGAATGATGGATGGATGGGTGGATGGATCGGTGGCTGGCTAGATAGATAGATAGATTATGTATGGATATATGATGGATAGATGGATGGATGATAGATGGATAGATGGATGAATGGATGGATGGATGGATGATGGATGGATGATGGATGGGTGATGGATGGATGATGAATGGATGGATGGATGAGTGGATGGATGGGTAGCTGAATAGATAGATGATGGATGGATGATGGATAGATGGATGGAAGGATAGATGATGGATGGATGGATGATGGATGGGTGATGGACAGATGGATGATGGATGAATGATGGATGGATGGATAGATGGATGGATGGATGGATGGATGGATGATGGAATAGCGCTTACGCAAGGATCCCGAGGCTGATTACCTGGCAGAGATGATTGAGAGGAAGGGCCGCTTGTCCTTGGCGGAGGCCTCGGTGGTTTTGACGCCGTTGTCTATGATCATGCCAGCCTGCGGGGTGTGGGGGGTAGACAATCAGGCGCACATTGGCTTGCCCTGCAGGCCGGGCACCTCCTCACACCCCGCCTCGCTGTGCTGTCTCACACGTTACCCCAAACCAGCTCTGCTCCCAGGATGCACTAAGGCCTCCAGGCCGCCCCTCCACACGGGCCCGTGGATCTCCCCACAGCCTCACTGTCCCTACTTCCCCCACATCCAGGTCCAGCACAGCTCACCCCCCTCTCGTGGGAAGGCCCTCGGGGTGAGCAGCCCAGGCATTGTCCCCGCCCCCTCTCAATAGCTGATGGCCCGTTCCGTACGGGGACAGCCCCCCGGGGCCCATGTCAGCCTCAGGACATCCGCCGAGGCCCATGCTGTTCTCCGTGGGGCAGCACCACGGCCCCCTCGCCTCTGTCCTCGGCCCCGGGAGATCGCCTCTCTCTTAGCTTCTGGGACATGGCCCCACCGTGGTCCTCTGTCTGCCCAGCCCATCCATCCATTCTTCCATCCACCCACCCATCTATCCTTCCATCCATCCTTCCACCCATGCATCCACCCATCCATCTCTCCACCCACCCATCCACCCACCCATCCATCCATCCATCCACCACCCATCCATCCATCCACCCACCCACCCATCCATCCACCCATCCATCCATCCATCCACCCATCCATCCATCCATCCACCCATCCATCCATCCACCCACCCACCCATCCATCCACCCATCCATCCATCCATCCACCCACCCTTCCATCCATCCACCCATTCATCCATCTACCTACCCATCTATCTATCTATCCATCTTCCTTCCTTCCTTCCTTCCTTCCTTCCTTCCTTCCTTCCTTCCACTCATGAATTCATCTATCCTTCCATCTATCCTTCCACCCATCCATCCATCCATCCTTCCATCCACCCATTCATCCACCCACCTACCCATCCATCCATCCTTCACCTACCTTCCTTCCTTCCTTCCTTCCTTCCTTCCTTCCTTCCTTCCTTCCTTCCTTCCTCATTCCTTCCTTCCATCCACCATCCATCCACCCACCCACCCGCCCATCCATCTTCACCCAGCGCTGCAGGTCACGCTGAAGATCTCTCTCTCACTTGGTCTACACCCTTTTGTTTTTGACCCCGAATGTGTCTGTTCTCCCCTGGGGGCCATGGTCTCTCACCCGCACCATCAGGGGCTGAGCCCGCGGGCCAGCCTGACACCCAGGACTCCCCGGCCCCACGCCTGCCCCCGCAGCCCCGGCCTCAGGTGGCCTGGGGGGGGGGCGGGGAGACTCACCCGGAAGTTGGAGTGCGCCCGGTTGTTATGGAACCTGCCCAGGGGAATGTGCTCCGAGTAGCCCGGCGAGTAGGTGCCCACGGAAGGGCCCGTCGGCACATGGTGGAAGATGAACCAGAAGCCCGTCTCCTGGTGGGGAGCGACGGGAGGGCAGGTCATGGGTTGGGGGGGAGGAAGGAGGGTTGCGGTGTCCTTCCTCGGCTTCTCTCTCTCCTTCTACAGACTCGGAGGCCGGCCCAGGGCCCAGAGCGGACACTGCCCCGGTCGGGGTCCCTTGGGGTGAGCAGCAGGGAGGGGTGGGTGGGAGCGAGGCCCATGGTGCCCTGAGCACGGGAGCACCCCCTGCCTGTGTCTCCTCACCCACCCAGCCCCCACCTCATGGGGCCAACACGAGGAAGGAACTGCTTGGCCTAGAGAATGCTGGTGTGCCAGGCACTGGTCTGGCATTAGTTTATCCTATATAATAAAAAGGTGATATGCAAACTGACCACCACGCCCTCGCACAAGATGGCCGCCGCCACGTGGTCACAAGATGGCCGGCAGGGGAGGGCAGTTGTGGGCGATCAGGCCAGCAGAGGAGAACGGTTAGGGGTGACTGGGCCAGTAAAGGAGAGCAGTTGGGGGCAATTGGGCTGGCAGGGGAGGGCAGATGGGGGTGACCAGGCCAGGCGGGGAGGGCAGTTGGGGGCAATCAGGCGGGCAGGGGAGCAGTTAGGCATCGATCAGGCTGGCAGGGGATGGTTAGGGGCTGATCAGGCTGGCAGGGGAGCAGTTAGGCATTGATCAGGCTGGCAGGGGAGCAGTTAGGCATCGATCAGGCTGGCAGGGGAGTGGTTAGGGGCCGATCAGGCTGGACCGCAGGCACGCGGTTGGGAGCCAGCAGTCCCGGGTTGCGAGAGGGATGTCCGACTGCCACGTTAGGGATCGGGCCTACACAGGCAGTCGGACAACCCCCGAGGGGTCCCAGAATGGAGAGGGTGCAGGCTGGGCTGAGGCTTTTACATCTCTATATAAAACATAGATATGGCCGAGACCGGTTTGGCTCAATGGATAGAGCGTCGGCTTGGGGACTGAGAGGTCCCGGGTTCGATTCCGGGCAAGGGCATGTACCTCGGTTGTGGGCACATCCCCAGTAGGGGGTGTGCAGAAGACAGCTGATCGATGACTCTCTATCATCAATGTTTCTAACTCTCTATCTCTCTCCCTTCCTCTCTGTACAAAATCAATAAAATACATTAAAAAAAAGATATATATACATATATATATGATTACTTAGGCTTTTATATATATAGACCAGAGGCCCAGTGCACGAAATTGGTGCACCAAGCCTCTGGTGTGTGTGTGTGTGTGTGTGTGTGTGTGTGTGTATGCCTAAGTGACCATTACCACCAGATGACCAGCTGGTAGCCATGACATGCACCGGCCACCAGGGGGCAGATACCTAATGCAGGAGCTGGCCCCTGGTGGTCGGTGTACACCCACAACCAACCTCCCATGGTCCCCCCACCCCAGCTGGCCAGCCTGAGGGACCCCACCTGTGTGCTCCGTCCCCATTGGCTGCGATCACCAGGGGACGCAGGCACAGCCATCGCCGGAAACCAGGGCACCCCTCAGGCCTGGGGCTGGGTGCACACGGACCTCAGGGTTGGCAGGGCCCCCCCTGGACCCCCCACCGCACCCCTATTTTCCCCCCAAGAAGAGACCCCCACCCCCCGCCCCACTCACCTCGGAGCCCGCGGCCGAGCAGTTCACCAGGTTGTTGTTGGGGTTGGCCATCCAGAAGGTGGACACAGCGCTGTCGGGGGGAGAGGGGGGACAGAGTCAGACGTGGTGCCAGCCCTGCGCTGTGTGGGGAGGGTGGGGGCTGAGGGCTAGCCCTGCAGCCGCTGCTCCCAGGAGCCCCTTAGAGACCAGGAACCCCTGGACTTTTTTAAAAAAATATATATATATTTTATTGATTTTTTACAGAGAGGAAGGGAGAGGGATAGAGAGTTAGAAACATCGATGAGAGAGAATCATCAATCAGCTGCCTCCTGCATGTCCCCTACTGGGGATGTGCCCGCAACCAAGGTCCATGCCCTTGCCCGGAATTGAACCCGGGACCTCTCAGTCCGCAGGCCGACGCTCTATCCACTGAGCCACACCGGTGTTGGCGACCCTGGGCTTTCTATCTGAAACCCTCTGCTCTGGGGGGCAGTGCACGGAGCCTTCCCGTGGCCGGGACCGGACCCGGCCGGCTCTGCGGGGCTGGGCCTGTGTGGGGTGCAGCCTGAGACGGCGGGAAGAAGCCGGAGCAGGACGGGGGCCGGGCTCAGAAGGCCACCGCACGGGAGTGGCCTCTCTGGTCCACACGCCATCTGCGTGACCCACGTGGGAGCCCAGGGGCAACCATGCCCCAAAGAGCACTACGTGGCACCAGGAGAGGGCGCTACGTGGCGCCAGGAGAGGGCACTACGTGGCACCAGGAGAGGGTAATACATGGTGCCAAGAGAGCCCGAGGCTGAGAACCATGGTTCTCCGTGGACAGGGCGGGCGGCAGGGGCACAGGGAAGGACCCGGCCCCTCTCGGAGCGGCAGGGGGCTCGGGGTGGCAGTGGGGTTGACGTGGCCGTGGCCGTGGCCATGGCAGGCGTGGGGGCCTCATTCACTTGCAGTCCTGCCGGGGCCGGGGCACATAGCCGGGGGCTCGGGCTGGGGCAGGGGCCCGGGCGGCCGTGGGGTCGCCGTGGCCGTGGCCGGCGTGGGGGCCTCACTCACTTGCAGTCATGCCGGGGCCGGGGCACGTAGCCCGGGCTGGGGCACGGGCCATGGGGGGGGTCGCCGTGGCCGTGGCCGTGGCCGTGGCCGTGGCCGGCGTGGGGGCCTCACTCACTTGCAGTCCTGCCGGGGCCGGGGCACGTAGCCCGGGAAGGCATCCTCGGTGATGGCCCGGCACATGCGGCTGTCGCGGTCGGAGGGCAGCAGCGTGCCGGGCCTCACCAGCAGCCCCAGGCAGTGCTCGAAGGTGTTGCGCTCCTCCGGCCCGTCCTCCGTGAAGAAGCAGTGGCCCAGCGAGTCGTAGCCCACCACGTCCTTCACCTGCGGGCGGGGGGGGGGGGGGCTGTCACCGCGGCCGGCGGCTCCCGGGCTCCGCGGGGAGCATGGGGGTGGGGGTGGGCCGGGCCCAGAGTTCGGCTGGGGACGGACAAGCAGGTCCGTCTGGCTGGAGCCGTTCCGGCCGAGGCTCCAAGGGCTGGGAAGAGGGATAAAGCATGGAAAGCATGCCCTCCCCCGCCTGCCTGATCCCCCTCACTTCCCTCCCCCGCCTGCCTGATCCCCCTCACTGCCCTCCCCCGCCTGCCTGATCCCCCTCACTGCCCTCCCCCGCCTGCCTGATCCCCCTCACTGCCCTCCCCCGCCTGCCTGATCCCCCTCACTGCTCTCCCCCGCCTGCCTGATCCCCCTCACTGCCCTCCCCTTCCTGCCTGATTGCCCCTCACTGCCCTCCCCTTCCTGCCTGATCGCCCCTCACTGCCCTCCCCCGCTTGCCTGATCGCCCCTCACTGCCCTCCCCTTCCTGCCTGATTGCCCCTCACTGCCCTCCCCTTCCTGCCTGATCGCCCCTCACTGCCCTCCCCTTCCTGCCTGATTGCCCCTCACTGCCCTCCCCCGCCTGCCTGATCGCCCCTCACTGCCCTCCCCCGCCTGCCTGATCGCCCCTCACTGCCCTCCCCCGCCTGCCTGATCGCCCCTAACCGCCCTCCCCCGCCTGCCTGATCGCCCCTCACTGCCCTCCTCCGCCTGCCTGATCGCCCCTAACCGCCCTCCCCCGCCTGCCTGATTGCCCCTCACTGCCCTCCCCCGCCTGCCTGATCGCCCCTAACCGCCCTCCCCCACCTGCCTGATCCCCCCTCACTGCCCTCCCCCGCCTGCCTGATCGCCCCTAACCGCCCTCCCCCGCCTGTCTGATCGCCCCTCACTGCCCTCCCCCGCCTGTCTGATCGCCCCTAACCGCCCTCCCCTGCCGGCCTGATCACCCCTAACCGTCCTCCCCTGCCGGCTGGATCACTCCTAACCGCCTCGGCCTCGGCCCAGCCACCTCGGTGGCTTTGTGCGGACCTGTCTGGGTGCCCTCTGGCCAGGAGCCAGCCGTGTTCTGCTCTCCTCTTGGGCTGGCAGCTGCTGTCCTCTGAGGCCACCTGACCCCCCAGGGGAGGGAGGGGGCCCGGGAGGGGCTGCGTGGCAGGCGGGCGGGCGGAGGGAGGGAGGGAGGGAGGGAGGGAGGGAGCCCGGGGCCTCACCAGCAGCCCGTTGGAGCCGTGCAGGGTCACGCAGCGGGAGAAGGTGTGGTGGCTGGACCGCTCCCGGGCGGAGGGAGGGAGGGAGGGAGGGAGCCCGGGGCCTCACCAGCAGCCCGTTGGAGCCGTGCAGGGTCACGCAGCGGGAGAAGGTGTGGTGGATGGACCGCTCCCGGGCGGAGGGAGGGAGGGAGGGAGGGAGGGAGCCCGGGGCCTCACCAGCAGCCCGTTGGAGCCGTGCAGGGTCACGCAGCGGGAGAAGGTGTGGTGGATGGACCGCTCCCGGGCGGAGGGAGGGTGGGAGGGAGGGAGCCCCCGGGGCCCTCACCAGCAGCCCGTTGGAGCCGTGCAGGGTCACGCAGCGGGAGAAGGTGTGGTGATGGACAGCTCCCGGGCGGAAGGAGGGAGGGAGGGAGGGAGCCCGGGGCCTCACCAGCAGCCCGTTGGAGCCGTGCAGGGTCACGCAGCGGGAGAAGGTGTGTTGGATGGACCGCTCCCGGGCGGAGGGAGGGAGGGAGGGAGGGAGGGAGGGAGCCCGGGGCCTCACCAGCAGCCCGTTGGAGCCGTGCACGGTCACGCAGCGGGAGAAGGTGTGGTGGATGGACAGCTCCCGCACGTAGGTGGGCGGGTCGTAGCCGCCGCGCGCGTCCAGGTCGCCGGCCAGGTGGAAGTGGATGGGGTACTGGCCCACCAGCTGCTGCCCCATGTGCCGCAGCTCCACGCCCTCCAGGTGTGCCGCTGCGAAGCCCCGGGCGAACTGCGGAGAGACGGCGAGGGGGGTCCGGAGGCGCTCCGTGGGACCCGGCGTGGCCGGCGTGGCCGGCGTGGCCGGCGTGACTGAGTGGCCGGCGTGGCCGGCGGGACTGAGTGGCCGGCGTGGCCGGCGTGGCTGGTGGGACTGGTATGGCTGGAGGGGCCGGCGTGGCTGGTGTGACTGGCGTGGCTGGTGTGGCTGGTGAGACTGGTATGGCTGATGTGGCTGGCATGGCCAGTGTGGGACTGTGTAGCTGGAGGGACTGGTGTGGCTGGTGTGGCCAGTGTGGGACTGGTGTAGCTGGAGGGACTGGTATGGCTGATGTGGCTGGCGTGGCCAGTGTGGGACTGGTGTAGCTGGAGGGACTGGTGTGGCTGGTGTGGCTTGTGGGACTGGTATGGCTGATGTGGCTGGCGTGGCCAGTGTGGGACTGGTGTAGCTGGAGGGACTGGTATGGCTGATGTGGCTGGCGTGGCCAGTGTGGGACTGGTGTAGCTGGAGGGACTGGTATGGCTGATGTGGCTGGCGTGGCCAGTGTGGGACTGGTGTAGCTGGAGGGACTGGTGTGGCTGGTGTAGCTGGTGGGACTGGTGTGGCTGGTGTGGCTTGTGGGACTGGTATGGCTGATGTGGCTGGCGTGGCCAGTGTGGGACTGGTGTAGCTGGAGGGACTGGTGGGTGGGGTGTAGGGAGCTGTCCCCGTTGGTGCCCATCTCCCATGCCCCAGTCCCGACGGGCGGACAGCAGCCAGCGGTTCGAACCTAAGACCCCTCCGCCCTCCAGCAGGCTCTCCGGCCCCGGCCCCTCTCCCCCCGCCCCCTCCCGCTGAGCCTGGGGTCCCGGGAGCCTGGGCGGGGCCGTGGCCGCGGCCCCTCCCCACCTTGATGTGGCCCCCGAAGGTGTCGAAGTCGAAGAAGCTGCAGAGGTGGCTGGCGTAGGGGTAGCAGGCGGCCTCCATCTCGCCCTCGATCACCAGGTTGCGGCTCAGCAGCCCCACCTCAGCCCGCATGTCCACGCCGTCGATCTCCTCGCCGATGTGCAGGAACCGGGGTTTCCCTGGGGCGGACGGGGGGGCGGGGGGGCCTCAGAGGGGCTGCGTGAGCCTGGGCTCCAGGCCCTGCGGCTGCTGGGCCCTCCCCTCCGCCCTCCTGCACGGACCTCCCCGCCCCATGCCCTCCCGCATGGATCACCTCCTCTCTCTCTCTCTCTCACTCTCTCTCTCTCTCTCTCTGTTTTATTGATTTTATACAGAGAGGAAGGGAGAAAGATAGAGAGTTAGAAACGTCGATGAGAGAGAAACATCGGCCAGCTGCCTCCTGCACGCCCCCCACTGGGGATGTGCCCGCAACCAAGGTCCATGCCCTTGACCGGGAATCGAACCCGGGACCCTTCAGTCCGCAGGCGGACGCTCTATCCACTGAGCCACACCGGTTTCAGCATTAATCAATAATATTCATATTAATAAATAATAACATTAAAACGTCGACAAACATCTCAGGAATAAAAGGTGTTTTTTTTTTTTTTCACTTTAAAACTAAATTTATTTATATTTACTTTTATATGCTCTGTCTACACGGAGCGGCCAGATGATGATGATCTCTGGACGCATTATACTCTGGCCACTCCGTGTGTGTCCTATAGAATAAAAGGCTCATGTGCACATGGTCCCCTCGACCAGGAGTTGGACCAGCAGGCAGGCCAGCCAGCCGCCCCTGTCCCCTCCCCCTGGCCAGGCTGGATGGACCACACCCATGCACGAATGCATGCACCTGACCTCTAATATATATATATATATATCTGTGTGTGTGTGTGTGTGTGTGTGTGTGTGTGTGTTTCAAAGAGGAAATAGTAATACAACTGTTGGCTTGCGTCAGCCTTGGGGGATTGCTGTGAGAGCTTTTATGACTCCGTTACAGTAGTCTTCACAGGAAATCTGAGAGGAAATGATCACGGCCATGGATTTGGCCTTGCCTTCTCACACCGAGGGGCCGGAGGATGGCGATCTCTGACCGCATAACCGGCTGGCCGCTCCGCGTATTTGTATCTCAAATGGGCCCCAAGGGTATTCGAGACTTTGGCGGGAGATCGGCCCCCCCTTTTCCCTGAGCTTCCTATCAGCCAGTGTGAAGGGGAACACTGATCAGGTGCTCGATTGATTTATAGTGTCTTTGCTATCCAATCGATGAGGCGCTCAAGAGAAGCACACTGAGCGGCCAGATGATTATGCGTTCAGAGATCATCACGATCTGGCCGCTCAGTGTGTGTGTGTGTGTGTGTGTGTGTGTGTGTGTTAGAGGCCCGGTGCATGAATTCGTGCATGGATGGGGTCCGGCCAGCCTGGCCAGGGGGAGGGGACATGGGCGGCTGGCCGGCCTGCCTGCTGGTCGAACTCCTGGTCGAGGGGACCATATGTATATTAGCCTTTTATTCTATAGGATGTACACGGAGTGGCCAGAATATAATGCGTTCAGAGATCATCACCATCTGGCCGCTCAGTGTGTGTGTGTGTGTGTGTGTGTGTGTGTGTGTGTGTTTGAAAACGGATTTTCTACAGAGAGGAAGGGAGAGGGATAGAGAGTTAGAAACATTGATCAGCTGCCTCGTTAAAAAATTTAAAAATATTGTTGATTAATACTATTAATATAATTAATACTAATATTTTTATTATTGATTGATTGATTTCAGAAAGGGAGAGAGAGAGAGAGAAACATCCAGTGAGTGGCCAGCCGGTTATGCGTTCAGAGATCGCCATCCTCCGGCCCCTCGGTGTGAGAAGGCAAGGCCAAATCCATGGCCGTGATCATTTCCTCTCAGATTTCCTGTGAAGACTACTGTAACGGAGTCATAAAAGCTCTCACAGCAATCCCCCAAGGCTGACGCAAGCCAACAATTGATATCCATTCGATGAGGCGCTCAAGAGAAGCACACTGAGTGGCCAGATGATTATGTGTTCAAAGATCATCACTATCTGGCCGCTCAGTGTGTGTGTGTGTGTGTGTGTGTGTGTGTGTGTGTGTTAGAGGCCCGGTGCATGAATTCGTGCATGGGTGGGGTCCGGCCAGCCTGGCCAGGGGGAGGGGACAGGGGCGGCTGGCTGGCCTGCCTGCTGGTCGAACTCCTGGTCGAGGGGACCATGTGCATATGAGCCTTTTATTCTATAGGATGTACACGGAGTGGCCAGAATATAATGCGTTCAGAGATCACCATCATCTGGCCGCTCTGTGTAGATAGAGCATATAAAAGTAAAAAATAAAGTTAGTTTTAGAGTGAAAAAAACAAACAAACAAACACCCTTTTATTCCTGAGATGTTTGTCGACGTTTTAATGTTATTATTTATTAATATTAATATATATTTTTTAAATATATTTTATTGGTTTTGTACAGAGAGGAAGGGAGAGAGATAGAGAGCTAGAAACATCGATGAGAGAGAGTCATCGATCAGCCGCCTCTTGCACACCCCGTACTGGGGATGTGCCCGCAACCAAGGTACATGCCCTTGACCGGAATCGAACCCAGGACCTTTCAGTCCCCAAGCCGACGCTCTATCCATTGAGCCAAACTGGTCTTGGCTTATTAATATTAATATTATTGATTAATGCTGAAACCGGTGTGGCTCAGTGGATAGAGCATCGGCCTGCGGACTGAAGGGTCCCGGGTTCGATTCCCGGTCAGGGAACATGCCTGGGTGGCGGGCTCGATCCCCAGTAGGGGGCATGTGCAGGAGACAGTCGATCCACTGAACCAAACCGGTTTTGGCTTTTATTGATTGTCTTTACAGAGAGGAAGGGAGACAGAGATAAACATCCATAATGAGACAGAATCCTGGATCGACTGCCTCCTGCACACACCCCCTACTGGGGATCGAGCCCGCCACCCAGGCATGTTCCCTGACCGGGAATCAAACCCGGGACCCTTCAGTCCGCAGGCCGATGCTCTATCCACTGAGCCACACCGGCTAGGGCTGTGTTTATTTATTTAAAAGTAGTGGCCCGGTGCACGAAATTCGTGCACATTAAAAGGGGATGAACCAGAGGAAATATTTTAATATTGCTACGTGCCCTTCCTCTATCATAGAAGCGTCAGAGGTGGGGGGAAAAAAATTAGTAAAATGTATACGAAAATCTCCCTCCTGTCAGAGTCTTGGGGGCGCCGTGGGACCCAGAGTCAAGTCCTTGCCCACCTGCATGCACCTTGAAATTGTACGATATCCAGACCCGGCCAGACCCACCCCTGTCAAGCCCCGCCAGGCAGGGGGCACAGCCTCAGGGCCCCAGGCCCGGTGCTGGGGTGGGTGGGGGAGCAGCCTGAGGTCCCCCGTCAAGCCCCACGGGGGCAGGTCCCTGCTGATCGCTCATTAAGGCTCATTAGGGGAACTCGGCCTCCGCTGTGGATGGGGCCACCTTGTGTTACGGAACTCCGCCGGGGGGCTGCCATCTTTGTGGCTGAGGGCCAGCCCATTGGCACATCCCCTCTTTATTAGCTAGGATTCTGCTTTTACTGATGTGAGAGAGAGAGAAAGGGAGAGGGGGAGAGAGAGAGAGAGACAGGAACATCCGTGAGGAGAGAGAATCACGGACCGGCTGCCTCCCGCACGCCCCACACGGGGGATGGAGCCCGCCACCCGGGCCTGTGCCCTTGACCTGGAATCGAACCCGGACCTCCTGGTTCCCAGGTGGACGCTCAACCACTGAGCCACACCAGCCAGGGTGCAACTTATATGACTTACTTATTTATTTATTTAAATAGATATATTTTAAATGGGTTGCAGAGAGGAAGGGGAGAGAGAGAGAGAGAGAGAGAGAGAGAGAGAGAGAGAGGGAGGGAGGGAGGGAGGGAGGGAGGGAGGGAGAGAGAGAGAGAGAGAGAGAGAGAGAGAGAGAGAGAGAGAGACATCCATGAGGAGAGAGAATCATGGGTCGGCTGCCTCCTGCACGCCTCACACTGGGGATGGAGCCGGCCCTGACCGGGAATCGAACCCTGACCTCCTGGTTCACAGGTCGACGCTCAACCACAGAGCCACGCCGGCCAGGCTGGCATTGCACCCAAACAGCCACGCGTTCGGACGCACCAGCCTGGAGCCCGGGTTCCCGGGAGCCTGAGCCTCCGCGTCTGTGGCAGCCGCCCCGAGAGGGAGTGGCCGGAGCGTGTGGGGTGGGGCGCCGCGGTCCCCCATCGGGTGCCACGGCGGGGCAGGGCGGCCTGCGGCCGGCGGGACCAGGAGCTGGTCTCCCTCCGATGATTCAGGCGCTCTCGGCCGTGCTGGCCCATCTGTTTCCCATCAGGAGCTCACAGACGCCCGTTCCTGGAAGGGGCCGGAGGCCGGCCTGGGAGGCGGCGTGTCCGCTCTGCCCAGCCCTGGACGCTGAGCCCGGGACACACATCACTCACACACACGTGCACACACACACATGCACATGCACTCTCACGCACACATCCACTCACACACATGTGCACACACACACACCCACTCACACACACTCACACACACGTCACACACACACACCCACTCACACACACGTGCACACACACACACGCACTCACACACACATCCACTCACACACGTGCACACACACACATGCACTCACACACACATCCACTCACACACATGTGCACACACACACACACATCCACTCACACACATGTGCGCACACGCACCCACACTCTCACACACACATCCACTCACACACATGCACATGCACCCCCACACACACACATCCACTCACACACGTGTGCACACACACACGCACACACACTCTCACACACACATCACTCACACACAAGTGCACACACACACGCGCACATGCACTCTCACACACACATCACTCACACACACGTGCACACACACACACATGCACTCTCACACACACATCCACTCACACACACGTGCACACACACACATGCACATGCACTCACACACACATCCACTCACACACATGTGCACACATACACATGCACATGCACTCACACACACATCCACTCACACACACACATGCACATGCACCCGCACACACATGCAGACATGCACACACATGCACCCAATGCACTCACACATGCGCACACACTCACACACACTCACCCACACGCACACACATTCACTCACACACGTGCAGGCACTCATGCACACACATGCACACAATGCACTCACTCACACACACATGCACACACATTCACTTAGACACATGTGCAGGCACTCATACACATGCTCACAATGCATTCACACACGCACACGCACACTCACACACACACATTCACTCAGATACACATGTAGGTACTCACACACACACACACACACTCACTCAGATACATGTGCGGGCACTCTCACACACACATGCACACAATGCACTCACTCACACACACACACACTCACATGCACACACATCCACTCAGACACATGTGCAGGCACTCACACACATGCTCACAATGCACTCACCCCACACACACACACATGCACACACATCCACTCAGACACACGTGCAGGCACTCACACACATGCTCACAATGCACTCACCCCCCCCACACACATGCGCACACATTCACACATATGTGCAGGCACTCACACACATGCACACAATGCACTCACTCACACACACACACACACACTCAGATACATGTGCGAGCACTCACATGCACACACATCCACTCAGACACATGTGCAGGCACTCACACACATGCTCACAATGCACTCACACACACACACATGCGCACACATTCACTCACACACATGTGCAGGCACTCACACACCAATGCGCGCACGCACACACACACACACACACACACAGGCCCCTGCCTGGGAAATTCTGACCCTGTCCACCAGGAAGCGGCGGTGAGCAGCACCCAGTGCACCGTCCGTCCCCTCTGAGTCTAACCCCTCTGGGTGGGGTCGGCTGGGGGTGGGCTGCTGCAGACACAGTCACCGGCCTTGCCAAACCGAGGGCGGCTGGAGGGTCCCCCCATGTCCCCCCTCCTCCCCGCACTCGGGCCCAGAGCAGCCCAGCTGTCTCTCCAACGGGCCCGAGAGGCCTCGGGAAGCAGCTGGCGCCCTGGCCGGTGTGGCCCAGTGGATAGAGCGTCAGCCTGAGGACTGAAGGATCCCGGGTTCGACTCCGGTCAAGGGCACACGCCCGGGGTGCGGGCTCGATCCCCAGTAGGGGGCGTGCAGAAGGCAACCGATCAATGAATCAAAGATTCTCTCTCATCACCGATGTTTCTCCCTCTCCCTTCCTCTCTGAAATCAGTGAAAGTACATATTGACATAAAAATGCACCCTGACTCGTGTGGCTCAGTGGATAGAGCGTCGGCCTGCGGACTCAAGGGTTCCCGGGTTCGATTCCGGTCAAGGGCATGGACCTTGGTTGCAGGCACATGCCCAGTAAGGGGGCGTGCAGGAGGCAGCTGATCGATGTTTCTCTCACAGATTTTTCTGACTCTCTCTTCCTCTCTCTCTAAAAAATCCCCGGCAGATCGCATGATTACCGTACAAACGTTCACTCCCCCGTGAGAGCAGCAGGGTTTCCCAGCCCCTGCGTGGTGGCCACATGATACGCTCTGGCCAATGGGATGCGGGCAGCGACTGTGAGTCCTGCGCCCAAGCCCCCCGCCCTCCCCCAGCGTCTCTGTGCACCCCTCTGGGCACCTCCAGCCTCCCCCACGAGAGGACTGAGTCTGGGGGGGAGATGAACAGCCATAGGGGGGGCCGGCCTGGACCCCAGAGAGCCTGCAGGCGGACGCATAAGAAATAAGCAAACGCCGAAACCGGTGTGGCTCAGTGGATAGAGCATCAGCCTGCAGACTGAAGGGTCCCGGGTTCGATTCCGGTCAAGGGCATGGACCTTGGTTGCGGGCACGTCCCCAGTGGGGGGTGTGCAGGAGGCGGCTGATGGATGTTTCTCTCTCATCGATGTTTCTAACTCTCTATCCCTCTCTTTTCCTCTCTGTGTAAAATCAATAAAATATATGAAAGAAAGAAAGAAAGAAAGAAAGAAAGAAAGAAAGAAAGAAAGAAAGAAGGAAGGAAGGAAGGAAGGAAGGAAGGAAGGAAGGAAGGAAGGAAGGAAGGAGTCGGTCCCTTTTGTTACGCGGCGCTACGCTGGCGCTAGCTGACGCATACACGCCTCCCCGTCCATCCCCGGGTCCCGCCGGCCTGCATGGGGCGGGTCCTACCTGCCACCCGGACCTGGTTGGGGGCACAGGCCCTGCAGGGCAGCACCCGGAACTCCTCGGCCTGGTACATGGAGTAGTCGGTGCTGGCCACCACCACCGTGTCCCCCGGCTGCCACGACCGCACATCGTCCTCCAGCGTCAGGAGCGTGCTGTTGACGTGGGTGTCGATGGTGACGGTGAGCCTGGGCCTCACTGCGAGGAGAGGGAGGGAGGGAAGGCGGGGGCAGGGAGTGAGCGGCGGGCCTTGGCCTGGGCGCCCTTTGCCCTGTCTGCCTCCGCCCGGCCCGGCCCGGCCCGGCCCGGCCCTGCCGAAGCCAATGCCAGTGCCAGGGTGGCCTGTCCAGACCCCGGATCGCCAGGCTCGTGCCTTTCCCGGCGTGGGGCAGGTTTTGGGGGAGTCCACCGAAACCCCACCGGCAAGGAGCCATCCGTCAGGTCCGGCCCAGGAGTTTCCCCACCGAGCGGGGCCGCGCTAGCCACTGAGCCACACCGGCCGAGGCGTTTCCCCACCGAGCGGAGCCGCTCTAGCCACTGAGCCACACCGGCCGAGGAGTTTCCCCACCGAATGGAGCAGCTCTAGCCACTGAGCCACACCGGCCGAGGAGTTTCCCCACCGAGCGAGGCTGCTCTGACCACTGAGCCACACCGGCCGGCCACTGAGCCACACCGGCCGAGGCGTTTCCCCACCGAGCGAGGCCGCGCTAGCCACTGAGCCACACCGGCCGAGGAGTTTCCCCACCGAGCGCAGGGGGCGTCCCTTCCCCCCCACACCCTCCACCCATCTCTCCCCGCAGACCGTCCAGCGCCTCCTCCCCGAACCAACCGGCCACGTCCAGCCGCTGGTAATAAGCACCTCCGGGCCTGGGTTTACAATAGCAGCAGCCAGGCCGCCAGCCGGTGTGGCTCAGTGGGCGGAGTGCCGGCCCCGGGGACGGAGGGTGCCAGGTGCGTTTTCAGTCCAGGGCACGCGCTCCGGTGGCAGGCACACCCCCCTATGGGGGCTGCCGGGAGGTCCCCCAGTTCCTGGCACCCTTCCCTCTCTGACAGACGAGTGGGCAGGGCTGGGCCTGCTGCCTCCCACCCACACCCAGCACCCCCCTGCTCCTGTGTCACTGTCAGGGGGTTCGGGAGGTCCCCAGCACCCTCCCTGCTCCTGTGTCACTGTCAGGGGGTTCGGGGGGGACCCCAGCACCCTCCCTGCTCCTGTGTCACTGTCAGGGGGTTCGGGGGGGACCCCAGCACCCTCCCTGCTCCTGTGTCTACTGTCAGAGGGTTCGGGGGGGACGCCAGCACCCTCCCTGCTCCTGTGTCACTGTCAGGGGGTTCGGGGGGGCCCCCAGCACCCTCCCTGCTCCTGTGTCACTGTCAGGGGGTTTGGGGGGGACCCCAGCACCCCCCTGCTCCTGTGTCACTGTCAGGGGGTTCGGGGCCCCCAGCACCCTCCCTGCCCCTGTGTCACTGTCAGGGGGATCGGGGGGGACCCCAGCACCCTCCCTGCTCCTGTGTCTACTGTCAGAGGGTTCGGGGGGGACGCCAGCACCCTCCCTGCTCCTGTGTCACTGTCAGGGGGTTCGGGGGGGGCCCCAGCACCCTCCCTGCTCCTGTGTCACTGTCAGGGGGTTCGGGGGGACCCCAGCACCCCCTGCTCCTGTGTCACTGTCAGGGGGTTCGGGGCCCCCAGCACCCTCCCTGCCCCTGTGTCACTGTCAGGGGGATCGGGGGGGACCCCAGCACCCTCCCTGCTCCTGTGTCTACTGTCAGAGGGTTCGGGGGGGCCCCCAGCACCCTCCCTGCTCCTGTGTCACTGTCAGGGGGTTCGGGGGGGCCCCCAGCACCCTCCCTGCTCCTGTGTCACTGTCAGAGGGTTCGGGGGGCCCCAGCACCCTCCCTGCTCCTGTGTCACTGTCAGGGGGTTCGGAGCCCCCAGCACCCTCCCTGCCCCTGTGTCACTGTCAGGGGGATCGGGGGGGACCCCAGCACCCTCCTTGCCCCTGTGTCACTGTCAGGGGGTTCGGGGGGGACCCCAGCACCCTCCCTGCTCCTGTGTCACTGTCAGGGGATTCAGGGGGTCCCCAGCACCCTCCCTGCCCCTGTGTCACTGTCAGGGGGTTCGGGGCCCCCAGCACCCTCCCTGCTCCTGTATCACTGTCAGGGGGTTCGGGGGGGCCCCCAGCACCCTCCCTGCTCCTGTGTCACTGTCAGGGGGTTCGGGGGGAACCCCAGCACCCTCCCTGCTCCTGTGTCACTGTCAGGGGGTTCGGGGGGCCCCCAGCACCCTCCCTGCCCCTGTGTCACTGTCAGGGGGTTCGGGGGCCCGGGCTGCTGCTCTGCCCCCCGCCCCCGGCCCGCTTACCCGGCTTCCCGCACAGGAACCGCAGGCGGTGAGGCGGGCAGGCCTGGCCGCCGGCGTAGCAGGCGAACCTGAAGTCCTGGCCCCGCTTGTGCACGACCTGGATGGTGAGGTTGGCCCCGTCCGCCGTCCGGGCCTGGGAGGGGCGGGGAGGGGAGAGTTCAGCCACGATTCTCCCTCTTTTTTTTTTATTTTATTTTTTTTGGCCAGAAAAAAGGCCATAGCACACGCTGGCACGTCTAAAACCGCCCCGGAAGGAGCCTGTGGCTGTCCCCGGGGCCAGCTGTCCCATTCCGCGGTGGCGCTGGTTCCGGGGGGTGGGCCCCGGGGGGCGGGGTCCAGGCCGCGGTCACTGGGCCTCGCGGGGGACCTACTAAGCCCTGGCCGGTGTGGCTCAGCGGCTACAGCGTCGGCCTGCGGACTGAAAGGTCCCGGGTTCGATTAGCATCTCGGGAGATGCTGCAAGAGCAGGTACACCCTGGGAGGCAGCTGGCGGGTGGCACCCCCTTTCCCTCCTGCCCCCCTCAGTCCCACGGCATGAACGGTGGCTGCAGGAGGAGGCCACTCTCAACGCACCACGTGGGGACTCCAGCCAGCCAGCCAGTGTGGCTCAGTGGATAGAGCCTCCGCCTGCAGACTGAAGGGTCCCGGGTTGGATTCCGGGTGCAGGGCAACAGGCCCAGGTTGCAGGCACATTCCCAGTGGGGGTGGGGGGATGGTGGTGCAGGAGGCAGCCGATCCAGGATCCTCTCTCATCATGGATGTTTCTCTCTCTCCCTCTCCCTTCCTCTCTGAACTGAACAAAAATCTTGGGGCCCCAGCCACTGTGGCTCAGTCGATTGAGCGCCAGCCTGTGTGGACGGAAGGGTCTCGGGTTTGATTCCCGGTCAAGGGCACAGGCCCGGGTGGCGGGCTCCATCCCGAGTGGGGGGCGCGCAGGAGGCAGCCGATCTGTGATTCGCTCTCCTCCTGGATGTTTGTCTCTCTCTCTCTCCCTCCCTCTCCCTTCCTCTCTGACATCCATCAAAATATGTTTATTTTTATTTTTATTTTTTTAAATATATCTTATTGATTTTTTACAGAGAGAAAGAGAGAGTTAGAAACATCCATGAGAGAGAATCATCGACCAGCTGCCTCCTGCACACCCCCTGCTGGGGATGCGCCGGCAACCAAGGTCCATGCCCTTGGCCGGAATCGAACCCGGGGCCCTTCAGTCCGCAGGCCGACGCTCTACCCACTGAGCCACACCGGTTTCGGCCAATCAAAATATGTTTAAAAAATAAACATAGGCTGCACCGCCCCAGCCCCTCAGGCCTCTGGGCGGCGTGGGGAGGCCGAAGGGAAGCTCCGGGCCAGAGCGAAGGCCCGTTCTTGCTGGAATCTTCCTGCATCAGGCCTCTAGTTTGTGTGAATAAAAAAAGCAAGGGGTCCGGAGATGCGCGGAACTTGGTCTACGTCTCCAGCTACGTCTCCTCTGGCTCCCCAGGACGCCTTCCAAATTTATATTTCATGCCTAGGGGGCTGGTTTCTCCCTTGGGAATTTACTCAAAGCCCCTTCTCCAGATTCCAGAACCGTGCTAGGAGCTGAGGAACATGCCAGCACCCTCCACGGGGCCTGAGCTCAGTCCTCCCCTACCCCCGCTGGGTCCTGGGCACTCGGTCCCAGAGGAGCCCCCCGCGGGCGGCAGCCGAGGCCCCGTGGCCGCCCCACCCCAACCCTGTGCTGGGTGCACCCAGCCAGGATGCTGAGCGAGGCATGGAGGAGGGAGGGAGGGAGGGAGGGAGGGACTGGAGGCAGCACCCGGGACAGCCTGGCTCTGGAGCTCGCCGCCGGGAGCCTGGACAGATCCGGGGGCCTGTGAGCCGGGAGAGCCAGTCCCTGGCTCCCGTGTGAGCTCCCCGGGGGCCACAGGCACCGCACCCCGCGCCCTGCACCCCGCCCACGGGGAGCGCCTCGGAGGCCCCCCCTCTCCCGGGTACCTGGATGTCCAGCGGGCGGACGCAGATCTTGCCCGGGTGGGCTGCCTGCAGGTCGGCAATCTTCTCCCCGCCTTTGGCGTGGGCGGCCGGCACGTGGTCGAACCACTCCGTCCACTGCGCGTCTAGGCAGGAGGCACAGCGGGTCACGCAGGGAGGCTTGGCGAGGGGGGGCCAGGCAGGCAGCCCCCAAGCCCCCGAGGGAGGCAGGCAGCCAGCGTCTCATCCCAAACGCCGCCCGCTGCATAAAAGCAATCGAGAGTCCCCGTGGCCGAAACCGGCGTGGCTCAGTGGGATAGAGCGTCGGCCTGCGGGCTGAAAGGTCCCGGGTTCGATTCCGGCCAAGGGCATCTGCCTTGGTTTGCGGGCACATCCCCAGTGGGGGGTGTGCAGGAGGCAGCGGATGGATGTTTCTTTATTATCGATGTTTCTACCTCTCTCTCCTTCTCTCTTCCTCTCTGAGATCAATAAAAGCATCCTCCTATATCGCCCTAACCAGTGTGGCTCAGTGGATAGAGCGTCGGCCTGCGGGCTGAAGGGTCCCGGGTTCGATTCCAACCAAGGGCATGGACCTTGGTTGCGGGCACATCCCCAGTGGGGGGCGTGCAGGAGGCAGCGGATGGATGTTTCTCTCTCATCGATGTTTCTCTCTATCCCTCTCCCTTCCTCTCTGTAAACAAGCAATGAAAGATATCTTTTAAAATATCCTCCTATATGATAAAGATATGATATGCCAATAGTCGTTACATAACGACCGACAGTGTAATGACTGGATCCTGGATCGGCAGGAGGGTAGGGGCAGCAATGGCAGAGAGATACAGAGGAGGGAGCAGGCCAGTGAGCTGTGAGGGAGGCGGGGAGGGGGAGCTGCAGGAGGGGGAGGGCGGCGAGCTACTGGTGCAAGAATCCATGCGGGGGGGGAGGGGGGGGCTACTGGTATTTTTTATTTACTTATTTAAAAATATATATATTTTATTGTTTTTTCACAGAGAGGAAGGGAGAGGGATAGAGAGTTAGAAACACCGATGAGAGAGAGACATCCATCAGCTGCCTCTTGCACACCCCCCACTGGGGATGTGCCCGCAACCAAGGTCCATGCCCTTGACCGGAATCGAACCCGGGACCTTTCAGTCCGCAGGCCGACGCTCTAACCCACTGAGCCACACCGGTTTTGGCTACTGGTATTTTTTTTTTTTTTTAAAGGATAGGTTTTTGTTGTTTTTTTTCTTTTTCTTTTTTTAAAACTATATTTTATTGATTTTTTTACAGAGAGGAAGGGAGAGGGACAGAGAGCCAGAAACGTGGATGAGAGAGAAACATCGACCAGCTGCCTCTTGCACACCCCCCACTGGGGATGTGCCCGCAACCAAGGTCCATGCCCTTGACCGGAATCGAACCCAGGACCCTTCAGTCCGCAGGCCGACGCTCTACCCACTGAGCCACACCGGTTTCGGCTGCTGGTATTATTATTATTATTATTATTATTTTTAAAAGGACAGGTTTCTTTTGCAGCGTCAGATGCCTCTGCCATAGGGACGGACGGGGTGGCGTCGGCGCAGGAGAAAAACCCTGCTTCTGCAAACACGGAATCGTTAGGACCGAAGGCCTGGCTGGCCGGCGCTCACCTTGCACCCACTCGCTGGCGGCGGACACGTTGAAGTACTCGCCTTGCTCCGACCGGAACAGCTTGAACACGCGGGCGGCGGCCGAGCCCCCGTCTGTCAGAGGCGGACAGACGGTCAGCCCCAGGCAGACCCACGGCCGGCGGGGCTGGGGCCGGGGCTGGGCTGGGGGAGGGCGTCCAAGGCAGAGGGAGCCCCCGCAGGGAACCGAGCCGCTTCTTGGAAAACAGAGCTCCGTGCCTGGCCGGTGTGGCTCAGTGGATAGAGCGTCGGCCTGCGGACTGAAGGGTGCCGGGTTCGATTCCCGGTCTAGGGCACATGCCTGGGTTGCGGGCTCAGTCCCTCAGGAGGGGAGCATGTAGGAGGCAGCCGATCCATGGTTCTCTCTCATCATGGATGTTTCTCTCTCTGTCTCCCTCTCCCTTCCTCTCTGAAATCAATACAAATATATATATATATATTTGTAATATGCTAATTAGTCCAGGAGGGAGACCAGGAGATGGGTCATCCTTCTGGACAAAGCCATGGTGGCAGGGCCAAGGTAGAAGTGGTTGGGGACGATCAGGTCGGCAGGGGGGGCCAGGTAGGGGCAATCAGGGTGGAGGGGGGAGGGGGCAGTTAGGGGCAATCAGGCCGGCGGGGGGGGGGCAGTTGGGGGCGATCAGGCTGGCAGGGGGGGCCGGGTGGGGGCAATGAGGCTGGCGGGGGGAGGAGGCGGTTAGGGGCAATCAGGCTGGCAGGGGGGAGGCAGGTGGGGGCGATGAGGCTGACAAGGGGGGGCAGTTGGGGGCGATCAGGCCAGCGGGGGAGGGGTTAGGGGCAATCAGACAGGCAGGCAGGTGAGCGGTTAGGAGCCTGCGGACCTGGGTTTTGCGAGAGGGATGTCCCAGATCGGAGGGGGTGCAGGCCGGGCTGAGGGACGCCCCTCCAAAGTCCGTACTCTGAGCCCCGTCACCCCTCACGGGGATCCCTCTCTGCGCTCGGACCCGCGTGCTGCCTGCCCGCCCGCACCTCCTCTGCGCAGAGGCGGCTGCCCCCACCAAGGCCCGTCCCAGGTGTCCTTTTAGCTCAAAACACGGCCCCTGCCGGCTCGGTCCCACCCCCAGCCGCTCCGGGTCCCTCGCTCTGGACTAGGGGTGTCGAACTCAATCAGAGAAGGGGCCAAAATCTAAAATCCAGCCTAAATCGCGGGCCGAATGGCTTACTGAACAGTCATAAACTGTCACTGTGATGGAAACGCAGCGGAGTGCAGTGATGACAGCGCGGTGCGGGCCACATTGCAAGGCCTGGCGGCACGGATGTGGCCCGCGGGCCTTGTGTTTGACACATGTGCTCTGGATGAAGCTGTTCAGGGCTCTCCCACGGAGCTGACCCGCCCCCCACAGCCCCCGCCAAACCCTGGGCGGGCAGAAGAGGCTCAGAGCCTCCGGACGGGGCCTCAGCCCCCCCAGCCCCCCCCCCCCGACCCCGGGGACTGTTGGCAGAGAGAATAGCAGAGCGCGTCTGCTGGCTGCCGGACCGAGGGCTAGGAGACGCGGCACGGAAAGCGTGGTCTGCGATCGGCGTGGCTGTGTGATGCCGTCTGTGCTGAGGCCCCCACCCCCGTCCTAGTCTCACCCACCCCCCTGGCCCGCGCCTCGCGGTCTGTCTGGGCTTCTGCCTGCCTGAATGAATGAATGAAGAATGAACGAATGAGCGATTCCCAACTAGCGGCTCTCACTTCGAACGGCCTTTGAATTTGGCGTTTAAGGACGCCCAGGACCCATTTCTCCAATAAAATGTATGATCTGCCCCCCCGGCCGGTGTGGCTCAGTGGATAGCGCGTCGGCCTGCGGACCGAAGGGTCGCTCCCGGGTTTGATTCCGGTCAAGGGCAGGTGCGTGGGTGGCGGGGTGTCTCTCTTCCCCTCCCTTCCACTCGCCCTAAAAATCAATGGAGAAATATCCCCGGATGTGGATTCACACACACACACACACACACACACACACACACATTGCACGGAGTGGTCAGATGGTGATGATCTCTGAGCGCATCATAATCTGGCCACTCCGTGTGTGTGTGTGTGTGTGTGTGTGTGTGTGTATGTATTTAGATTAGAGGCCCTGTGCATGGGTGGGGTCCTGGCCAGCATGGCTGGCCTGCCTGCTGGTCGGACTCCTGGTGGAGGGGGCCATTTGCAAATTAGCCTTTTATTCTATAGGATAGACACGGAGTGGCCAGATGATTGCACGTTCAGAGATCATCATCATCTGGCATTCAGTGTGTGTGTGTGTGTGTTATATAATATAATATATATATATATATATATATATATATATATATATATATATATATATATATATATATATATATATATATATATATATTACAGCCCAGTGCATGCATTCGTGCATGGGTGCGGTCCGGCCAGCCTGGCCAGGGGGAGGGGACAGGGGCGGTGGGCCGGCCTGCCTGCTGGTGGGACTCCTGGTCGAGGGGACCATGTGCACATGAGCCTTTTATTCTGTAGGATGTACACGGAGTGGCCGGAGTATAATGCGTTCAGAGATCACCATCATCTGGCCGCTCCGTGTATCCTACTGATGGACCTTCAACAGGGTTGGGTTTGCCCATTTGATGGAACGTGGCCCATGGGATGCTGGGAGGTGGGTCAGCCAGCGTGCCCGGGGGAAGCCCTGGGCATCGTCGTCACCATGGAGACAGGATCATCGTCGCCATGGAGACGCTGGGCGGGCAGGGGACCGCGCCTCCCGCTCCCGCCCTGCTGCTCACTGTGGTACTCGACGTGGTCCTCCACGGAAGACGCGGGGTTTCCCTTCACCGTCACGAAGCTCCAGGGGTGTCTGCGGGGGAAACACGCACAGAAGTCAAGGCCCTGCCGCGCCTGGGCCGGTGCGCAGGCGCTCAGGGTGCAGAGCCGAGGGGGAGCAGCAGGGGGCGCGCCAGAACGGCTGTCACGCAGCAGCCTCTCGTGCGAGCGCCGAGCTCGCCTGCGCCTGGCCCTGCACACGCAGGAGTCACGCGTGTAATCAGCCCGCAGACCCGCCTCGGCCCGCCAGGCGCCCCGAGGCCCCGGGCAGGGCGTCCCTCCCAGGGATGGGGCCTCAGCTGCAGTCGGACATCCCAGAGCTGCCCCGCAGGCTGCGGAGTCTGTGGCTGAGCGGCCCGCCCCCTGTGAGAGCACCCAGACCCCCAGGGGCAGCTTCTGCATCGGGCGCCGACCCCCTGCTGGTCAGTGCGTGTCATAGCGACCGGGCGTTCCTCCAGGACCGTAAATTTGCATAGCATCTTTTTTCCCCCTCTCCAAATTATTTCTTTTGTTCCTTCTGTCTTAGGACTCCTTCCTTCCTTCCTTCCTTCCTTCCTTCCTTCCTTCCTTCCTTCCTTCCTTCCTTCCTTCCTTCCTTCCTTCCTTCCTTCTTTCCTCCTTCCTTCCTTCTTTTCTCTCTTTCTTTTTAAATATATTTTATTGAATTTTTACAGAGAGGAAGGGAGAGAGAGAGAGAGTTAGAAACGTCGATGAGAGAGAGACATCCATCAGCTGCCTCTTGCCCTACCCCCCACTGGGGATGTGCCCGCAACCAAGGTGCATGCCCTTGACCGGAATGGAACCCGGGACCCTTCGGTCCGCAGGCCGAGGCTCCATCCGCTGAGCCACGCCGGTTGGGGCCGTAGCACCCTTTTACGATATGGCATTCTGCACGTGGCTGACCGCCTGAAGGAGCGCCTGCAGGCACAGGCCTCTGGCATGCTCAGTGTGCAACGTGCTCCGAAGAGACCCATCCCGGTTCCCGGATGCCCCCCCCCCCCCGTGCGGCCGGGGGGGAGGGGAGCGTGCCCGCGTGTCCGGGCCCCCCTGGGGGTGGCTGGCCCGGGGAGGGGGCATTTGGTGGGTGGGAGGGGCTGCTCCGGAGAGTCGGTGGAGGGGTTGGGGGGGAGGAGGGGGTGAGAGCGCAGTGGGGGTGGGGTAGGGGGTGGGGGGGGAGTGGCAGGGGGCGCAGTGTAGGGGGGTGGGGATGGAGGGGTGAGGGCTCAGTGTGGGGAGGGAGATGGGGAGGGGGTGAGGGCGCAGTGAGGGGTGGAGGAGGGGGAGGGGGTGAGGGCGCAGTGGGGGGAGGGGGAGGGGGAGGGGGTGAGGGCGCAGTGGGGGGAGGGGGATGAGGAGGGGGTGAGGGTGCAGTGGGGGGAGGGGGATGGGGAGGGGGTGAGGGCGCAGTGGGGGGTGGGGAAAATGGGGAGGGGGTGAGGCGCAGTGGGGGGAAGGGGGAAAGGGGGAAAGGGGGGAGGGGGTAGGGCGCGCAGTGGGGGGAGGGGGAGGGGGAGGGGGGGTGAGGGTGCAGTGGGGGGAGGGGGATGGGGGGTGGGGTGGTGGGGGTGCAGTGGGGGGAGGGTTGATGGGGAGGTTGGTGAGGCGCAGGGGCGGAGGGGGATGGGGGGCGGGGTGAGGCGCAGGGGCGTTGGAGGGCGAAGGGCGCAGTGGTGGGGATGGGGATGAGGAGGGGTGAGGGGCAGGGGGTTGGTGGGGGTGAGGGCGCAGGGGTTGAGGGGGTGAGGGTGCTTGCGTGGGGGGAGGGGATTGGGAGGGGGGTTGGGCGGCAGTGTGGGGGTAGGGGGAGGGGGAGGGGGGGGTGGGGGCGGGTGCAGTGTGGTGCGGGGGATGGGGAGTGGGTGCTGGGCCGCAGTGTTGGGTGGGGTCGGGAAGTGGGGGGAGTTTTTGCAGGGGGGGAGTGTGGGGGGGGGGGAGGGCGCCAGGGGTCGGGGGGTGAGGGCGCACAGTGAGGGTGTGGAGGAGGTGGGGGGGGAGGGGATGGGGTGGTTGGGGGCGAGTGGGGGGGGGGGAGGGGGGAGTGGGGTGGGGGGTGCGTGGGGGGTGGGTGATGGGGATGGGGGGATGGAGCAGTGGGGGGCGGGAGGGGCGGGGGTGGGGGGATGGGCGGCAGTGGGGGGTGGGGGAGTGGGGGCAGTGGGGTGGGGGGAGGGCGGTGGGTGGGCGCAGCGGGTCGGCCAGGGGTGATGGTGATGGGCTGCAGTGAGGGGATGGAGGAGGGGGGAGGGGGGGTTGGAGGGCGCATGTGTTGAAGGGGTGGGGTTTGAAGGGGGGAGGGGGATGGGGAGGGGGGTTGGGCGCAGTGAGGGGAGGGGGAGCGGGATGGGGAGGGGGGAGGGCGCAGTGGGGGAGGGGGGGGGTGGTTGAGGGCGCTAGGGGTTGAAGGGGTGAGGGTGCGTGGGGGGGGGTGAGGGGGATTGGGGAGGGGGGGTGAGGGCGGGCAGGGGTCGAGGGGTGGGGGGTGGAGGTGAGGAGTGGGGGGTAGTGAGGGCGCCCGCAGTGAGGGGTGGAGGAGGGGATGGGGTGAGGTGCGCCGTGCGGGGTGGAGGGGGGGGGGGGAGTCGCAGTGGTTGGTGGGGTCGTGGGGGAGGGGGGGTGGGGGGGGTGGGGGATTGGGGAGGGGGGTGCGGGGGGGTGAGGGCGCAAGTGGGGGGGTGGGGGGGAGGGGGTGGGGGGATGTGCGCCGTGGGGGCGGGGGGGATGAGGAGGGGGTGAGGGCGCAGTGGGGGTGTAGGGGGGGGATGGGTTGGGGCGCAGGTGGAGAGTTGCGGCGCAGTGGGGGAGGGGGCGGCGGGAGGTGGGATGGGGGGTTTGAGGGCGCCAGTGGGGGCGCGGTGGATGAGGAGGGGTTGGCGGGGCCAGAGTGAGGGGTGGAGGAGTTGGCGGGCGGGGGTGAGGGCGCAGGGGTTGGAGAGGTGAGGGTCGTGTGGGGGGAGGGGGAGGGGAGTGGGGTGAGGGCGCAGTGAGGGGTGGAGGAGGGGTGCGGGCTGGAGGGTGCCAGTGGGGGGGTGCAGTGGGGGGAGGGGGATGGGGGTATGGGGAGGGGGAGGGCGCAGGGGTTGGAGGGGGGAGGGCGCAGTGGGGGGTGGGCTGGGGGAGGGGGCCTAGGTACCGGAAGCCCAGGTGCAGGAAGTGCTTGCTGCCCAGCCTGGTCATGGCCTTGCGGGCGGAGTCCTCCAGGCTCCGGGAGCCCTCGTCGTTCACGGCCACGGACAGCACGCGGCCGGCGGGCAGGGCGCCCAGGTACTGCGCCAGGCGCTCGCTCTCCTTCCGGGACTTGTAGGTGTCGAACCTGCGGACACGCGGGGGCGGAGGCGAGGGGGTCAGAGGGGAGCGCGAGTCTTTCCGGCGACAGCCGGTCCCCCGGGTCTATGACTTTTATTTTTATTATTTTTATTCTTTTAAATATATTTTATGGATTTTTCACAGAGAGGAAGACAGAGGGATAGAGAGCCAGAAACGTCGATGAGAGAGAGACACCGACCAGCTGCCTCTTGCTCACCCCCCACTGGGGATGTGCCCGCAACCAAGGCGCATGCCCCTGACTGGAATCGAACCCGGGACCCTTCAGTCCGCAGGCCGGCGTGCTGTCCACTGAGCCACACCGGTCCCGGCTATTTTTTTTATTTATTATTTTTAAATACATTTTATTGATTTCTTACAGAGAGGAAGGGAGAGGGACAGAGTTAGAAAAATCCATGAGTGAGAAACATCCATCAGCTGCCTTTTGCATGCCCCCTATTGGGGATGTGCCCGCCACCAAGGCACATGCCCTTGACCGGAATCGAACCCGGGACCCTTCAGTCCGCAGGCTGACGCTCTATCCAGAGCCACACCGGTTTTGGCAAGCGGGCTCTGACTGTTAAAGGGAGAAGTTCTTATTCCAGGAAAAAAAAAAAAAATCCCTCAGACTCGACAGCGATAAGCTATCCTCCTACAGATACACTGCCCAGGAGGTAAGTACGGATCTCACAAAGGGCCTGCCCCTGCCCGGCCGGTGTGGCTCAGTGGGTAGCGCGTCGGCCTGCGGACTGAAGGGTCCCGGGTTCGATTCCCGGTCAAGGGCATGGACCTTGGTTGCTGGTACATCCCCAGTGGGGAGCATGCAGGAGGCAGCTGATCCGTGATTCTCTCTCATCATGGATGTTTCCCTCTCCCTCTCCCTTTCTCTCTGAGATCAATATATGTATTTTTAAATGACGCAATTCCGTAACGACACCAACGCTCCCCTACGTAGCTATAAAGATTCTGTGAAACCGGTGTGGCTCAGCGGATAGAGCGTCGGCCTGCAGACTGAAGGGCCCCGGGTTCGATTCCCAGTCAAGGGCATGGACCTTGGTTGCGGGCACATCCCCAGCAGAGAGTGTGCAGGAGGCAGCTGGTGGATGATTCTCTCTCGTCGATGTTTCTAACTCTCTCTCCCTCTCTCTTCCTCTCTGTGAAAAAAATAAAAAATAAAAAAATCAATAATAATAATAATAAAAAGATTCGGTGCCATGATAGTGGGAATTCCCAAGAGAATGTCAAGTCTTGGGACTTACTGGGCAAAACAGTTCTGAAAGGAAGCTAGGAAAATAAAGCCATGGGGCCGGGGCTGGTGCGGCTCAGTTTATAGCGCGTCGGCCTGTGGACTGAAAGGTCCCGGGTTCGATTCCGGTCAAGGGCATGCGGGCACATCCCCAGTAGGGGTGTGCAGGAGGCAGCTGGTCGATGTCTCTCTCTCATCGACGTTTCCGTCTCTCTGTCCCTCTCCATTCCTCTCTGTGTAAAATCCATAAAATCTATTAAAATAAATAATAAATAAATAGATAAGTAAAGCCGTGGGAGCAGCCAGGATTCGGCAAAGAGCCGGGGGTCAGGGGCCGGGAGGGCGGGCCCGGGGCCTGAGTCACCGTTGGCATCACCGGGCTCTGCCCAGCCAGGGCCCCTCCCCGGGGAATCGGCAGCGGCAAGCCCTGGGCATCTGGGCGAATCCTCGCCCCACACGTGCCTGCTCCTGCCTCCTCGCCCTGCCTGGCACACGCCCCGTCCCCTCTCCCGCTGCCTCCCCAGGCGCCTGAGTGTGTGCTGAGCACACAGTGTTCATTATTATTATTATTATTATTATTACTAAACGCATGTTACTGGTTTCTCACAGAGAGGAAGGGAGAGGGAGAGGGAGTGAGGAACATCCGCGAGAGAGAAACATCCACCAGCTGCCTCCTGCACACGCCCCCCACCGGGGATGTGCCCGCAGCCAAGGTCCGTGCCCTTGGCCGGGATCGAACCCGGGACCCGTCCGTCCGCAGGCCGGCGCTCCCGTCCGCGGGCGCGTTATTATCTTTGCTCAGACGCAGCCAGCTGTCAGATTCGTGGTTGCTGCTGTACATCCTCCCCCTGAGGGCATTTTCCCATTGATCTTTATTTTATCTATTACTTTTTAAGGTTTTTTAAAAATGTGTTTTTATTGATGTCAGAGAGGAAGCGGGAGGGAGAGAGAGAGAGAGAGAATCATCCAGGATGGGAGAGAACCACGGATCGGCTGCCTCCTGCACGCCCCCTACTGGGGATGGAGCCTGCGACCCAGTTATATGCCCTTGACCGGAATCGAACCCGGGACCCTTCGGGCCAGAGGCTGACGCTCTATCCACTGAGCCACACCGGCCAGGGATCTATAGATGTTGAGGGAGGAGGAGGGTGGAAGGGAGAGGGAGAGGCAGAGAGGAACATCGAGGGGAGGGAGACCCATCGATGGGCTGCCTCCTGCGCGCGCCCCGACCAGGGTCCGGGCTGGGGCGGAGCCTGCCACCGAGGCCCGTGCCCTTCCGTCCGCAGGCCGGCGCACTACCCACTGAGCCACACTGGCTAAGGCATTTTTTCCATTTTTAGAGAGCGTGGAAGGGAGGGAGGAGGTGCAGGAGAGAGAGGGAGAGTGAGAGGGAGAGGGAGGGCGGGGAGAGGGGAGAAGTGAGCGTGAGTGAGAGTGAGAGGAGAAGGGAGGGAGAGGGGAGAGTGAGAGGGAAGAGGGGAGAGGAGGGGGAAGAGGGAGATGGAGCGGGAGAGGGAGAGGGAAAAGAGGGAGAGGGAGGGAGAGAGAGAGTAGAGAGAAGAGAGGGGAAGCGAGGGGAGGGGAGGGAGCGAGAGAGAGAAGGAAGAGAGAGGGAGAGAGCGGGGAGGAGGCAGGAGAGAGGATAGAGAGGGAAGAGGGAGATAGGAAGAGGAGAAGGAGGGAGAGGAGGGGGGAGAGAGAGGGGTGAGGAGAGAGAGAAGAGAGATGAGGAGAGGGAGAGGAAGGAGGGGGGAG